AAAAAATGCATTCATAATAGCATAAACTCATGACAAAAAAAAATAATGATTAAGTCCAAAATAACATTTAAAGTATATACTTCATAAAATAAAATATAATAAAAAGAAATATGAGTGTACACATATTGAGTAGCAAATCACATTACTACATAAAAGAATAATTTGTAATTGCATAAGTCGATGACAAAAGTAAAAATAGTACGGAGTAATTAAGTCCAAGACATAATTTTGCAAAGTATATTAGAAAATAAGGCATAATAACGATAGAATGAGACCAAGTTAACATCATCATCATCTTTATATGATCATCAAATAACACTCGAGTTAAACTCACCTAGATGACGGATGACATGAGAAAGTTATGCGACTGTTGCACTTATTATTGTTTATGTGTAAAAGTTTATACTAAAAAATGTCATGTTTAGAAAACCCTTAATTTTGATATGTTTGTTTGGAAAAGAACATCACAAATCTAATACGTAGTAGTATTTTAGATTTTAGTCTTTTAGGATGCTAGCTTTAGTCATCATGCAATTAATTTTAGTATTTAACAATTGTATATTTTGTATTGTAACAATACAATTTTAGTTGATCTCCTATTCATTTCATGTATTCATTCAAGTGATCAAATGACGTTTTTATTTTTTGTAAAATACGGGAAATATACGTTTTATACGGGAAGTGGAAGTTTTTTTTCCTTTTTAAACGGATCGTCATTAGTTTTCGTTTTAAACGCGTTTTTTTGTTAAAAAAACGGTACGTGTTTAAAACGCGTTTTAAACGCAAAAAAGGTAACTATGGTGATAACAAGAAATTATGCAAGTCTTTTCTACGCTATCTAATAGGAAAATTTATAATATAATTTTTATACATATTCATGATTATGTTGATATACTTACATAATATGTATTTTCTAGTGAAAATTGGATGCTTAAATTGTTCAAATGTTTAGAAATGAAATAGAGATACATATGAATCATGTCAAAAAGAATTGAGGTGATTATTCACCATGTGTGTAATGCATCGTGAGATGGACCCACACGCACACATACTTGGCATATATGGTTATAGGGTCAGGTTCGAATAAAAAGTGGGTATTCTCATGAGAAATGTGAACGTCTCCACTTTTGATCATCTGAAGTTCACTATTACATTTGGATGATATTTTTCATCCACTTTTGATCATCCACGATACACTTTTACACACAGAAAATCCTCTTTTAGAAAAGAATAATTTTTTATTTATTTACTAAAATGCAACCGCGTTTTTAGTCCATTTTAATACATTTATGACAATCACTACATCTAGGTTGTCACCCGTAAGTGACGTGTTATCCCTCCGCCTGGGGGTGGTATCAAATGAGCAAGGGCGCGCTGCACTTCATAGGCCTGAGTGTGGTGATCAGAATGATAAGGCTGCTAGGTCGTCGCCCGAAAGCGAGGTGCCACTCCAATGCATGGGGATGGTGTCAAAAATGAAAGGGCATGGTGGGGGTCGATGTGGTGTAAAGAAGAGAAGGCAGGGTGCTAGATTGCATTTTGGTACATGGAATGTTGGCTCTGTTACGGGGAGATCATCTAAGATAGTCGAGGTTATGAAGAGTAGGAATATCAGCATAATGTGCATGCAAGAAACTAAGTGGGTTGGAGAAAAGGCACATGAGATTAATCCTGGAGGTTTTAAGTCGTGGTATTATGATGGCACATCATTATGTGGAGGGTGTGGTTGAAGTCTTTAGGAAGAACGATCGCATCATGAGCATTAAGTTGATAATAGGAGATGATATCATGTCTGTGGTAAGTGCCTATGCACCACAAGTGGGATTGGATGCATCTACCACTCAACAATTTTGGGAGGATCTTGAGGAAGTGGTGCGACGAGTGTCAAGGGAGAGAAGTTGGTCATAGGAGGCGACCTCAACGGGCATGTGGGCCCAAGTCGTGATGGTTTTGAGAGTATCCATGGCGGACATGGTTTTGGCACTTGAAATGAAGTGGGGAAGAACATTGTGGATTTTGCTTCGACATATGAGTTGGCTGTGATGAACACTTGGTTCAAGAAAAGAGACTCTCACCTTGTCACCTATAGAAGTGGAGCTAATAGTACCCAAATTGACTACTTTTTAGTACGGACGACTTGGAGAACTAGCTACAGTGATTGTAAGATTATCCCAGGTGAGAGTGTTGTCACTCAGCATACGATGCTTGTGCTTGATTTTCAAGGTAAAAAGAGGAGGCGGGTTAAATTATAAGGGGAGCAAAATATAAAATGGTGGAGGCTCGAAGGGAATCTCCAACAAAGTTTTGCACACAAAATGTTGGAGGAAGATGTATGGTCTATTGATAATGACGCACATGTAGATGATGTGTGGTTATCAATGGAGTCCACCATTAACAAAGTGGCGAAGGAGATACTCGGGGAATCTAAAGGATGTCTGCCACCAAAAAAGGACACGTCTTGGTGGAATGATGAGGTGAAACAAGCAATAAAGACCAAAAGAGAATGTTATAAGAAATTGGGAAAAAGTTGGAGCGATGAGAACATAGAGGAGTATAAGGAGGCTAGAAGAAGAGCAAATAAAGTTGTGAAGGAAACCAGAGGAAAAGTGAACAAAGAATTGTATGTAAAGTTGGACTCTAAGGAAGGAGAAAAAGATATCTACAGACTTGCTCGCCTTCATGACCGTAGGACTCAAGATATCAGAAAAGTTAAGTGTGTGAAGGATGTCGATCAAAGGGTATTAATGGATGATGAGGAAATAAAAGAGAGGTGGAGGTCATACTTTGATACCTTGTTCAACGGGAACAAAGTGCAAGGTATTGATGATCTTATTTCTATACCAAAGTGTATGGTAAATCGGGACTTCGTGAGAAGGATTCAAACAACAGAAGTTAAAGAGGCTATGAGAAAAATGGGGCGGAAGAAAGCAGTGGGCCCAGATGGCATACCGATCGAGGGTTGGAGAAGTTTGGGAGAGAAATGCATCGAGTGGCTAACACGCTTCTTTAACATTATTTGAAGAAAAAACAAAATGCCAGTGAGTTGGCGAAAGAGTACTCTCATTCCCCTATTTAAAAATAAGAGTGATGTACAAGAATGTGCCAACTATCGAGGGATTAAGCTTATGAGTCACACCATGAAACTTTGGGAGCGAGTGGTTGATCAAAGACTTCATAAAAGTGTGAAAATTTCGGAGAATCAATTTGATTTTATGCGTGGACGCTCAACAACTGAGGTCATTCACCTTCTTAGACAAGTTGTGGAGAAGTATAGAGATGCTAAAAAGGATCTTCATTTGGTGTTCATTGACTTAGAAAAGGCATATGATAGGGTACCTCGAGAGGTTCTTTGGTGGGCCTTAACTAGAAAAGGCATATCACGTAAGTATATCAGTATCATCATGGATATGTATGATGTTTGTACTACAAGTGTTTGCACTAGTGTAAGGAGGACCGCAGAGTTCTTTATTACTATCGGAGTGCACTAAGGATCTGCTCTGATTCGTTTCTTATTTGTTATAGTCATGGATGAACTTACGAAGTCAATTCAAGAAGATATATTGTTGCATGATGTTTGTCGATGATAGTGTATTGATTGATGAGACGCAATCCAGTGTTAAACCAAAGTTGGAAGTATGGCGACAAACATTGAAGACCAAGGGTTTCACACAAAGTCGAAGCAAGACTGAGTATATGGAGTGCAATTTTGGTGGAGGTAGAAGTAGTAGCAACAGTGGGATTACTCTTTATGGTAAGGAGATGCTGATGTGTAATATGTTCCGTTACTTGGGCTCCATAATTCAGAAGGATGGTGAATTAGATGGAGATGTATACCATAGAATCGGAGCTGGTGGATGAAATGGAAGAGTGCATCAGGATTTTTATGCAATCGAGGTATGCCGACTAGACTGAAAGGTAAATTTTATCGAATAGCAATTTGGCTTGCATTAATGTATGGCGTAGATTGTTGGGCGTGAAGCAATGCCACATTCAAAAAATGGGTGTGGAAGAGATGCGTATGTTGCGTTGGATGTGTGGACATACTAGAAAAGACCGTTTGAGGAATGAGATAATCAGACAAAAGGTGAGAGTAGCACCTATAGAAGATAAGATGCAGGGATCCCGTTTGCGGTGGTTTGAGGGGTGGGGAGAAGAGGCAAAGAAGAGAGGGAGAGGAAGATCCAAACAGACTTGAATTAAAGGAATCAGAACTGATATACGTCTTCTTGGGTTGGATGAGAGTATAGCTTTGGAGAGAACAAAGTGGAGGGCGCACATTCGTGTGAACGATTGATGTCTTTTGTACATTTTCTCTCTATTTTCTTTTATCGTTTATCTTCTTTATTTTTCTTATATTTTTATGTTATTGTTATCTTATATTTATTTATCTTTATTTTATTCATTTTATCTTACTTTTTTTTCCTTTCTTATCCGTCTTCTCTGTTTGGCATCGATATCATAAATCGATTCATGTTAGTCAACCCCAAATTCTGTAGGGATTAAGACTTAGATGTTGTTGTTTGTATGACATATTTGAGCCATTGGATTTTACATTTGATGCACCGGATTTATTCCTACTTTTCATGAGAAAGAGACTTTATTTGATCCAAATTCTATAGTTACAACTTACAAGTTACAACACTTACAAATACATTTTGAATTTATGGTAACGGGAGTAAACATTTTGTAATTACACCCACCGAGTATCCATGTATATTCATTACAGAATACGGAGAATATAACTCATTTAATTATCGCTGAGCACAACCAACAATTTATTTAATCACCTAAGGAGCCTTAATATCTTTAGAAGAACGCTAAAAAGGTGCAAGTTTCTGCTTAATTCTATTAAAACCATGTAGAAGACCATGAATTGGAATATTATAATTATGTTTGATGTTTTTTTTCATATGGAAAACTTTTATGTGAGAAAACTGTCGAGACCAGTTTGAACTTATGAAGTTATGAGTATGATTATTGAACCCAATGCCATCAATGCTCTGGAGATCACTGTCAAGTGTCAACAACAAAAATGCAAGCTGGGAAGACATAATTTCAAAACCAGAAAAAAACACAACTTCAAGGTTTATTTTGCTCATGTCCATACTCCATAGGATTAGGGAAGAGGACCAAGCTGTGGAATAGGCAAGGAAGCAGAGCAGTTCCGAGTAAAGCGGAGAACCGGAACCTTAATTAGTTAAAACCTGCACCAGTCTAGTTTTTAGTATTTTCGGGAAAAAAATGGAACTGGAACTGGAAAGATCCTTTGGAGAAATGGACCAGATCCGGATACCAACTCCGGTCCGGAACCAAAAAAAATAGGTGTCTGGTTCTATTTCTACCCGTCTAAAACTGAATCCATCCCCACTATGGAGTATGGACTGATTATTAAAGGAACGCCTAATCCAGAATTTAGCTTACATGGACTGGAATGCTCTTCTTAAAGATTGTAAGGTGCTATTCTAATTGAGAGAAAAGATCAACTACTAGAAAAGTTAAAATAGACTGTTTATTTGCGGGCTTGTGGCTTTAGGTCGTTAGGGTATGCCTTGAAGGCTTTAAGCCCATAGACACTGCCGACGTCAATGAATGGCAACTCCAGCAGACTCATGGATAGGGGGATCTTTGCTAAAGGATTCCCAATCAACTTCTCTGATCATTTTAAGTCTTTCATCCAATGATATAAACCCAACTTGAGATGCAATGGCCCCTGAATGACCAGCTTTGTAGAGCAAAACAATACCAGATCCCATATCAGGCCCATGAAGCTTTCCTGTTAGTAGTACTCTAAGGGGCATAAACAGAGATTTTCCCTGGCACAAGAAATGAAAGACACCAAGACTTGAAAGTCAACTAAACGTTATGTTTATCACAAAATGGAAGTTACAAACATTATTTCTCACCTTCCGCTTCAGTGCTTTACCAAAGCTCTTTACCCACTTTTGCCAACCGGGTTGGCCTTCTTCAAGTGCAGCGAAGAGCTCACCACTAGAATAGGCAGCTAGCAAGCTATCGGCGACTTCACGAAGCCCATCATCCAATAATCAGCACTGCAAAGCAAATGAGAGTGGGTTAATCAAATTTCTTCACTCAATAAATAAATAAATAAATAAATAAATACTCCCTGTCTCACAAATTATGGGTTGCATATATGAAGGAAACAAGTAATATTTCATCAACTTTCCAATTTAACCCTTTAAAAGTATGTATATCGTATAATAAGATGTGCAAATACTTCAACATGATAGCAGTTGGCAGGCAGCGCATTCAAAAAAAGGAAAGTGGTTATAATTGTGGGACAAACCAAAGAGAAAAATGATACTTATAAATTGCATAGGAGGGATTCTTTAATACATAAACACAATATATGGAGAGAGAAACCCTAAACAATAACTACCTCAAATATGGAAAGTGGATAGTTGTAAAAGATATTGAAAGCTGATAGTTAGTAGTCCTGGATTTGGTAAAAAATGGTTTGTAGACGTAGCAGTTGACTGTTTCTAATTAACATATACTACGTATGTGGGAAGCATATAAAAGAACAATTCTTACCATAATAAGAAAATGAAAAATAAGATTACCTTGCTAAATAAATAGGGCCATTAGTTTGAAAAGGGAAAACTGTCAAATAGGCGCCTGTACTATATCCAAAAAGTCAATCGAGTCCTCGTACTATGAAATCACCCAATCAAACGCCCAACTTTCAAAAGACGTTCAAATCATACTTTTATTTAACCGGTATATTACCGGTTATCAGGTTAATATGCACATGTGGCACCCACGTGGCTAATTTATTTTTTTTCTTTTTCCTTTTCTTTCTTTTTCCATCTCTCTCCTTTCTTCGTCCATCTTCAGACACATTCCCCTTCTCCGACTGCTTCAATTGTTCTCCCAATTTCTTCTTTGTTTTCCTTTTATATTTTTCTCATTTTTTATTCTTCTCTTTTTACTATATATCTCTTTCTCCCCTCCCTCACTGACTAGATGCAGTAGTTCCTGGATGACGACAGCTGGCTCCAGCAGCAAAGTCCGGCAACAAACGCAGGCAACAATAGTGTTAAGGTTCACGGTGCTCATTCCCTCATCGCTATTCACGGCAATCGCGTACTCCGGATCTCAAAGAGAAGAAGAGAGGAAAAGGTTCTGGATCCCAAAGAAGAAGAGAGAAACAAAAGAGAAGAGAGAGGCCTGAAACCCAAAGAAGTGAAAGATAACCAAAAGAGAAGAAACAGGGGATAGGGGGAAGGAATGAAAAGAGGGGAAAAAACCAGTCGGTTGGGGGTGGGCGGCGGTTGGTGAAGATGGGAAGCGAACTTGCTAGAGAATAGGGAGCCAAGGAGGACTGAATCAGAGAAACAAGAAAGCGAACGAGGAGAAGGAAGGAAGAGCAGAGAGACAGAGGGCAGAAGGAAGGAGAAAAGAGAAGAAAGTTGCAAGGAAGGAAAGTTGAACAGAAAAAATTAATGCCACATAGGTGTCTAGATCAGCAGTTACTGGCAATACCTGTAACTAACAGGCTAAAAAGTAAAATTCAGCGTTTTTTTATAGTTTGGGGATTTGATTGAATGATTTGATAGTATGAGGACTCGATTGACTTTTTGGATATAGTACGATGACCTATTTGACTGTTTTCATGTTGAAAAAAATATGAGTACTACTAATAGCTTCTTTCACATATGTTATATGGAGTATGATATAGCTATCCGAATAAGAGCTTATTTTAAGTTCTCACTTTATTTACCAAACAAACATTATGGCTTATTTTGAGCATTAAATAAGCTTTATATTCTCAAGTAAGCTCTTACCAGAGTAGACAGTGGAAAAACATAACTTGGTATATAATGTTCCATTTCTTTACTAATTTGTTTAAGACTAAATTTATGCAGTCATTATATTCATGATAATTCAGATAGCATTCTCTCACAATTTGGGAACAGAAATCAAAGGGTTACCTTGTCAAGGTTTCATAAAAAGGATAACATAGCAAGTTTGAAAGAACTTTCTCCGAATCATTTATCAAGTCGATTCCATCCTTCAAAAGCAGGACAGCCTCCTGTTTATATGAAAAAGTAAGATACAATGCCTTTTTATAAATAAAAGTTTACTTAGTTTACCCTATAACCCTTTTTAGTGGATTGTATCCATCTAGGCCCTGAAAGATAAATCAACTATCTTAACTTATTAACATTTATTAGATTAGATTCTGTTGGGGATTTCATAACAGTGTTATCGTTTACTTAACTGATAGATTCTAAACCTCTAAACTTTCAAGTACCAAATTGATACATTTCTTCATTCAAGTCTTAAATTGATAGTTGACTTTTATGTCCTACACTGATAAACCTCCTATTATAAACAGTCCAAAACATTTTCTAGCAATACTAACTAAATACTATGGAAAAGGCTTTTCCCTTAAAACATTTTTCCCCTGATTTCTTTAAACCAAAGTGCATAAGAGTATCTACTTTAAAGAGCAGACCATACTTGTACAAAAGTCCCCCCTGATTCTGTAAGAATACCAGTATCCTTCCAGCGGCTACCAATGATGTTTATTAACTCTTCTGATGGTAGATATCTCAAATGTTGACCATTCATCCACCTATGTTTTTACATTTACATGAAGTGTAAAAATTGGCAAAAGTACAATGTATTGCTAGTAAATAAATTTCAGAAAATAAAAACCAAGTTGAGAGAGAGCGAGAAACAGATCTACACTGTAAACATCTAGAAGGCAGACATAGCATTGAAGAAAATACATTACCTTAATTTTGTGGAGTCAAAAATTGCACCGCCTTTATTTACACGGTCAATTGTGAATTTTTCAACTGAAAAAACAGCATGAGAGTTTCAGGGAACTTAACCCTTGTGTAGAACATAACATTAAATAAATTACACTCCGCTTCACCCCCAAAAGATGAAAGATGAATGAGCAACACTAAATTAAGGCAACTCACCCAGTTTCTCAAGGGTAAAAAATTCATTTTCAGTGCCATCACCCCATCCCAACAATGCAAGGTAATTGACCATAGCACGAGGCAAATAACCCATCTCCTTGAACTGGTAAAATAAGAAAAGAAAGACTGGTAAATTAGTAATACTATTCATCTTAAGTGGCGACTAAAGAATGCGAAATTTTTCTATGGTTTAAACTCAATGGTGCAAAATGAAAATTGCATCTCAAAAAGTATAAAATTGAAAACTGAACTCCAAACGCATATGAAAAACAAACTGAATTGGTGTATAAATCAGTTACCTGGCCCACTGAAGTTGCACCATGTCGTTTTGAGAGTTTGCTTCTATCAGGGGCAAGAATCAAAGAAACGTGTGCAAAGGAAGGCATTGGAAATCCAAGGGACTGAAACATAGTGACATTGAAGTTATATTTAACCTCACCTCAATGTAAGACAAAAAAAATGGAAAATATTAAGAGCAGCATGTAGAACAATAGAAGATGAAGTACCTTATATATTAAAGCTTGTCTCAGGGTGTTGGGTAAATGTTCTTCTGCTCTGAAACATCAAGACTTGTGAAGACCAGTTCAGTAATATGCGCTGAGATTTTTATTTACTACTAAAACACAGTCACTCATTTACCTTATGACGTGTGAAATAGCCATGGTAGCATCATCAACAGTGACACAGAAATTGTAAACGGGTTGTCCATTACTTCTCATGATAACAAAATCCCCAAGAGTGTCCAGATTCCAACTAACCTTCATGATGCCACAAACAAAATTATAATGTCCGGCCATGTGCCTCTTTTATTTTCTTGCACTACACCCCTCTTCCACCCCCTACAATTCATACATTCTTCTTTTAAAAAGATGGAAGCTCATATCCTCACTATTCATAGTACATTAGTACATGTTGCCCTATATATGAAAATAATATTTCAAGAACGTAACAGCTCTCCTGGAAACAAAACCAAACTGCCATTCCCAAGACTTGTATTTTTGTTTAATATTATTAAAAATAAATATAAAAATAAATATATAAGTATTTGACGAATACTTGTATGGTATTGAATTTTAGGTTTTTCCAAAAAAAATGATATATCCCCATCTCTGTTCAAAAGTAATAAATAAAAAAATCTCTTTTGTGTAAAATCTCATTTAATCAGTAACATCTGCTTTCAAACCCACTTCATTTTGGCATATTATTATGGGCTGAAAAAGGTCATATAGAGGATATTGATGGAACAACGGTGTAACAGCAGTTTTAGAAAATCACAAACCTCACCGCGGATGAGGTCATCAATTTTCAGCCTCCCTTCACTAGGTACTCGAAACCTATATGTATAAGGGGTCCCCTTTTCCATCTCCTCTTGCACTTCCTTCTCTGTGGCTCTTGCCCACTTTCCTGTATATACCGGAGGTAGCTGCTTCAATTTTGCAATCTCTTTCATTTTCTCCAGTTCCTATTACATTTAAGCATATATCTAAATATGGTGGTAGGCAAAAACAAAGAGCAACAATAAAATCTAAAAAATGTCAAAATGAGAAAAACAAGTTGATAGTGATGAATCCATATGCCTACGCGTAATCACCTCATTAGAGCAGAAACAACGATAAACATGGCCAGATTGTAAAAGTTTTTCAGCATACTCCTTGTAAAGTGCATTCCTCTCGGACTGCCTGTATGGTCCATAGTTTCCACCAATGCCAGGACCTGGCATCAATTCAGTTATTCACCATATAATTGCCACACAAAGGAAAACTTTATACGGAGTAATAGATTGCAAATGTCTGACACAGAAAGCAAGAATTACAAATAATAGTTTATGAATAAATACGGGTCACAAAAAATCAAAAGAAAGTAAACAAGTTCAATAATAACTACGTAGTACTTAGTATTACGTACTACTACGTAGTATTATTGTTATTATTAATATTTTTTACTATCATTTCTTCTGTTTTTAGCCTATCCAGCTATGCGGATGGTAAAATGCGTAGACAACTGCCATTGGTGTTTCAAGAAGAGAAAAGCTAAAATTTTGCCATTAAAACTAGCTGGAACTTGCGCAGTTGCGCACCAATAAGAGCACATGAGTTTGACCTAAGATTAGAGACCAAACCTTCGTCCCAGGTAAGACCAAGCCAAGAAAGATCAGATAGCACGGCTTCCTCAGATTCCTTTGTTGATCTTTCCAAGTCAGTATCTTCAATTCGGAGAATAAACTTTCCACCCTTGGACCTGTCACAATATCTCAATTACAATTTACACTGAATTATCCATACGAATATATGGTGCTCACTTATTCACCTGGCAAATAGGTAATTGAAAAGGGCGGTTCTTGCTCCTCCAACATGGAGGTTTCCAGTCGGAGATGGCGCAAAACGAACACGCACTTCTTCTCCTTTTGTCTTCTTCAGGACAGAGCAGCATTCAATAGCTGAAGCGGAAACTGATAATGATCTCTTCGGGAAGCAGTGACTCCGGTGGTTGTTTCGACTACCATTTCTGCAATAGAGTGATGATTGGCGAATCATGGGAGGAGGCACCTCCATGAGGATTAGGCTCATTCTTACCATATGAAGCATGGACTAGGCCGAACCTGGGGAGAAATAGCTCGCCGGGCTCAGTAAAGCTGAGGCACGAGTAGTGCACTAGTTGGCGTAAGGTTGACCAGATTCAAAGTCAAAGGGAGCGTGGATTGGAAGAAGCCTACAGATAAGATTATACGAACCGGTAATGATGAGCTATTGGGGGGAAGGGCGCCGAGAATGATGAAAACGAAGAGAGAGGAAGCCACAGCCCACAGGAGGGCGGCTATGAACTATGCGGTGGACTTTGGTAGGTGGGGCTTGATTTGAAATATCTTGATAACTACTCCTAAATTTTATCACTTTCCCTTAAAAAACTTTGTCACTTTCGTTTTTAATTGATGCTTATTTCTCTCTTCTCTGCATTAATCTAAACCACACAGTTTTTACTTTATTATTCTCCTGCCGGTCAACTTTGGCAAAGTTTTAAGGGACGGAGGTAGTAGTATTTAAATACTCTCTCCGTCCCAAAATGAACTTCACAGTCACTATTCAAAAGGTCAACTTAAATTACTCTTAATCTTATGTTTTATATCAAATTTTTATCAAATTTACATTTTTTTATCAGCTTTTGTAGCGGTTTTAATGTAGTTTCTCAATGTGTAAATTTTATTTACTAAAAGTAATCTAAGTATGAACAGGGATCGAGTTGTTTTATCGTCGGTCAAGCATCGTAATCCGAAATGGGAAGTTAATTTTGGGACGGAGGTAGTACTATTTAGTACTTCCTTTCGTTCCTTTTTAATGGCAACAGTCATTTTTTCACGTTTGTCAATGCACAAGTTTGACCATTAATATCTTTCATTTCTTATTAGTAAAAAATTAAAAAAATCAGATTTTGAAAATATAAAATGATAACAATTTAATAATATTTTTTAGAAATTTAATTTATAATACATTAATAAATAAAATATAGTCAAAGTAGAATATGTGAATAGTGTAAAAAATCCAATGTTGTAATTAAAAGAGAACGGAGGTAGTATTTGACAATATTTGACTCAGTCTTCCACGGTTTTGGTATATAATTATTTATCTAAATTTGACTTTATTTAACGACATTCAAAAAGGAAAGTGTGACTTTAATGTAAGGAGGGAAGGAGTATTTCTAAGTTAAACCACTGAAATTAGTGCATGCGACCATTGGACAAGATGCATTGGAGATTGTTCGTGCGTTTGAGTGACTAGGATTGATTCCTCGATTGATAATGCAGTTGAGGTAGCAGACTTGTCATTGATTATTGTTTGTTTGCTCACTTGAGTCTTATGTTCTCTCTCTCTTTACTATTTGAATATAGTCTACCACGTTCATTTTCAAAGGGATTCAAAAGAGGTTGTTGTACGTTGTGATACGTTCAAGTTTAGAAGCGTTCAATTACTTAGTTAAGTCAGACACTTGCGCTTCTGAGTTTTCTACTTTAGACTTAAGCTTAATGTTCTCATTTTGTACATTAGTTAGGCAAACCATGAGTTTAGATTGTTCAATTAAGTGTTTTTCTCATGACACTTTCATATTAGCTAGGTGTGCTAGTAATTCCTTAACTGATATACGTTCATTACTAAAGAAAAAGACTTTATCCTCTAAATTAAGAACGTATTTGATTAATGAAATTCGAATTAGAAGTACTTAACTGATCATTTTAAAAGTTGACACGTTGATTATCACACAATGATCATGAGGTTGAGTAGGCATCCATCGATGGTTGTTTGATATGGATAATTGATGTGAGGTTGATTCAAGTTATCTGCAAGTTTTTGGATCTTAGAGTGTGGTTTTAACCAGATTTGACCCCGAACTTTGAGGAATTGAGCGTTGCTTTGACTTTTACATCGGTGATTGACAATGTTATTCATAAAATGAAAGGGAACTTGATCAGGACAAGCGAGTGAGAACGCATGAGAGGTAGTACTGGATTCCCAGAAATCTTTAGATCTCGTCTTCCCATTTCTGAAAAGTGCTTAATTTACTAAGTCAAAAGTTATGGCCAAAACAATGAAGATGTTTGCAAAGTTTACGGTGAAGCTTGAGGTTCGCGGTAGTGAAAAGTTATTTGGCGGTAGTGAACAGTAACTTGGCGATACTAAACATTTAGCGGTAGTGAACCGTATCTGGGCGATACCAAACACTTGGTGGTGGTGAATAGTGACTTGGCGATACTGACACTTGGTAGTACTGAACAATAACTTGGTGATACTTAACACTTGGCAGTAGTGATTAGTAACATGGTGATACTAAACACTTGGCGGTTGTGAACAATAACTTCTCGGTGATAAGCATTCTCTTCTTCTTCGTAAGACCTCGAGCCGGGTGATTACAAACTTCTCCAAAAACGTGATTTCAGACTTTAGGACCGAATTTCAGTCCCTTTCTTCCATGTATTCAAATTAAAACGCCGGTTTAATCTCCAAAATGGTTGTTCACGTACCAGATCTTCTTCGATGAGGTAAGTTTCAAAAAATGCAAATAGAATCAATCAGGTTCGCGCATCGACTCTATATCAAATGTAAATTCCAATTTTTAACAATCAGGGATATGGAATAATTTAATAGAGAAGAGAAGAAACCTTGTTGAATATGGGAATGATATTTTCTATTACAGCGCATATATTTGAATACGCAGGTGCAACTATCTCTCTCTCTCTCTTCTGAAGGTATGTGAATGCCTAGTCTATTTCATTAGATTCACTTGAGTTAGCCTTCCTTATATAGGTAAAAAAGCAAACTTACGTATCACAAAGTGCTAAATGGGCTCAAATATACGAGTGAGCCATATTAAATAATTAATGTCATAACAACGCAAATAGAAAGTTAATTAATATGATTGGACAAAAGAAAATAGTTTTAACAGAACACAACTACTAATGATATGATATAATATAATATTACGCTACGGATCATCCCAGACATGCTGACATCTGTCGCACACGCCGTTTAAGGAGACTACAGTCCACCTTACCCGAATCATTCAAGGCGTACATAAATATCATTCACACAATGTACATCCATAAACAATCAAATATATAAAGTATTTTAAATACATAGCGGAAACAACGTACTTTAAAGCCAAAGCCATGTCAGACAAATATGAGCACAAAAGTTCCCATTTGGACCAAGCACAAAAGTTCCCAAATCATTTATAGTTAAAATGGTTTCCGTGAACATCATTTTGTTTATATCAAAATAGAACTAGATGAAGCATGAACCACATTTCTTCTCTGCATATATCCCGAGCAATGAGTACAAGAAGTAATCCCTGGCTTGGACGTAAAACTCGTGAGATGCTCCTCGGAGGGAGGTCAATACTTTACAACCTTTAAAAAGTTAAATGACACCTATACGATATATAATCTACATTCCAACACACAAGACCCTCGATATAGGATGATATCATAGTCTAGGTAATCGCTCATTGCTACCCCTTTTCGAATCATACATATCACATATATACATAAGTCAAAATAGTCGGTCCGCAAGTCGATCCGGATTTTGTTTAATTCATTCATCATCAATATGGCCTATTAGCCCCAAGTAATTTAATCAAGTCTCATCCATGCAACTAGTAGGTTAAAACTACATGATCATCGGTCCTCAGTCGTAGTCCGAGGTTTCATCCCTATAATTTGAGATCCATCAAAGCCATCGGATGATCACCTCATTGAATTGGGTCCCATGGTTCAGGTATGGTATCTTTTCTAATCAGATGACACATATGTGTCGTCGCCACCTAGAGCTATATGTATTTTCCCGGCCGATCGTTCACCATGTCATCCGCCATTTGTGCCCCCCGTCGGAGTACATGAATAATGGCACCGCCACTCAGGGTACTATTTGAGTCCCGGTTTGAGTCCATAGGTGTTATCGTCACCCGAAAGCCTCTAATGCGGTCGATGTCACCCAATCAAGCCTTCTAAATTCAAAATTGGTCATCTTCCTCAACCTATATCCTCGTTAAACCATTTTCTACACATTTAAGCAAGTAGAACAATCTCAGGAATTAGGGGTGGGCATATCAGTTTTAGGATCGGTTATTATCAGTTTTGGTTCGGTTTGGTTTAGAACGGGTTGGAAGAATTATTACCAAATGATGTGATTTTTCTCGCACTTAAAAAGATTGTAATATAGCGGTGAAAGTACGAGTATCGTCTCCACAGAGACGGTAAAAGGGAATTAAGAATTAACTAAATCAGCGATAAAAATAAATAAAACATATGCAGTCGTGCGAGATTTGGTTGCTTGAGAAAACTAAAATTGCAAATAAACGACTAAAAGTAAAAATTTGGGTTCTTCTTAATTAACGACGAAGGGAACAGGGAATGATTCAGGGGTAATCAGATTTCTGGTAGATCAGGCTTAATTACATGAATTTAATTTAATTGAGCCTAGCTAATCAATACTAAGTTCTTACCGCTCTCGCGGCGTAGAGTACAATAATTTAGGGGACCAGGATGATCTCTCATGCGACAGGATCCTAAATTATTGCCAAGACGAACGAGCTTACGGCCCCTTAATTGCTACTAATCTCTTAGCAAACGATTAAGTGTGTGTGAATGTGTCCTAGAACAAATTAGATCTCTCTTAATTTATTCTATATGCAATTGTAATTCTAGTGGTCATTCTAGGTTACAAAAGATATCAATTAAATTATTCAAACACAAATTAAACGGCATTCATGCAATTTACACCATCAAGAATCTAGCCATACATCATGACCAACCCCTTCATCAACCCCAAATCCCTAATTAAAACTACTCCCTATTCATAATTGAAGAATCAATAGAATTGGGATAAATAGAATTAATTGTCATTAATCAAAAAGTAGGAATTTACAAAGAATGTTAAGGAATTGAAAAACCTGGCTGAAAAAGCTCTCTAATCTCGTCCTTAATCTCCCTCTAAAGTTCCATCCCCCCTAATTAAGGTTATGGGGTGGTATTAATAGGAAACAAGGCAATTTGGGCTGAACTAGGACAGATTTTGGGTACGCACGGCACCACGCACGCGTGAGTGGCGTCCGTGCGTCCGACAGACGTCCGCATAAAAAGAGGGACGTACGCGTGCATCCCTAGCCACGCACACGTGCGTGGCTGGCAGTAAGGTAGTCTTCGTTTTCTTCATTGGACGCACGTGTGCGTCCTTGCACGCACGGCCGTGCGTGACCCTTCTTGTTCCGAATTCTTCGTTTTCTCCCGTTCAAGTCCCCGTTTGGCCCCGC